CAGCCCTTTATGTGGCCCACACTTTCTGTGGGTCCTGACTCTAGAAAGCTCTGGTGACGTCTGGGGTCTCGGCTGCCTCGGTCCATCTTCTGTGGCGAGGGACACGACACCACAGACTGGGCAAAATGCAAAGAAGGGAGGTTCATTTAGGTCCTGGTTTTGGGGGTGAAAGTCCAGACAGTGAGGGGCCGGCTCTGGGGTGGCCTTCCTGCTGGCAGGCTCTGGAGGGCACAGCCTCACGTGGCAGAGAGGAGGAGTGGGGGCTCACATGTGCACATTTCCCCTGTCCCTCTCCCAGGCCACCAGGATTCCACCCTGAGGGCTCTACCAGATGACTTTATGTAATCCTACAGACCCCTCCCCTAACTCTGTGGGCCACTCATTTTCCACCCTCTTGACATTCACCATGGGGACTGAGCTTCAGCATGAGTTTCAGAGGGGACAAACCGTAATGGGGACATGGCGCAGCTGGAGGTTGGAACCAGGGAGGCAGTGGATGCTGGCTGAATGCTGTTCCATGCTGAATGCTGTTCCAGGCTGAATGGATGCTGTTTCAGGCAGGCCTCCCACATGTCTCTGGATATTAGTGTGTACCCCCTCACAGCCTGTTGGCTGGTTTTCTCAAACTGAGCACCCTAAAAAGAGAGGAAGCCAGGTGGGGGCTGCCCCACGGTGGAAGCCACACTATCCTTGCAGTGTTCCTCTGTCCAGGAGCTGATAATCCCATCCCCATATTTGGCAGAGTGGGAAGGATCCCCATGTCTTGATGCGGCAGCAGCTGGATTGTGAAGAGCAGAGGGCGCTGCACTTTGGGGAATGTAAAACCCTACAACATGTTAGGGTTTGCTTCTTTTTTTTTGGTGCTGGGGATTGACCCCAGGGCTGCTCAACCACTGAGCCACATCCTCAGCCCTTTGTATTTTTTTTTTTTTTTATTTTAAGACGAGGTCTTAAAATCAAATTAAAAAAATGTAGCTCATCGGCCAGGCTGAGCTGTGAGGCCAGGAGTGTTACCTGTGAGGAGAAGAGAAGAAGGGAAAGGAGGCAGGTGGCAGGAGAAGGCCTTCCTCAGCTCATACGACCAGCTCGACTGCAGAGACGCGGTCACGGCGACCCCCGTGTGGCTATGCGAGCCTGAGACCCCAGGTTGGTGCAGTGAAGAGGGGGCCGCTAAGACGCAGGCCTAGAGCTACACTCCAGCAGGTCCCCACCAGGAGCCCTGCTTTCCCTGTGTCTCAGCGAAGGTCCCCAGCCTTTGAACTAGGAGGAGAGGCCATGCTGAGCTCTTCTAGGGACAGGGCACGTGGGGAAGATGAGGGCATCTTCTGTTTCGATCACCACGACCCTCTATGGAGAATATTGCTTTCCTGTCCAGCAAATGGGGAACTGAGCTTTGGAGAAGTCAATTAACTTACCAAGGGTCACACAGCTCCTCAGTGGCAGAGGCTGAACTTAACCCGAGTTGCCTGCAATTAACCAGGTGCTACCTCTGCTCCCTAAGGAGACTTCTCCTCAACCCTGTGGCCCTCCACCACATCAAGAGCGCTGTGGGCTTTGTCCCTCTGGTTTGCAGAAACCTTGTCTTGCCCAGCTTGGCCAGGATGGGCGTTGTGCTGAAAGGCAACCTTGGTATGTGCTTGGAACCCAACTGGCAGGCTCTCCTGTAGCTCCGTTGGCCATTATTCCTGAAGCTCCCAGGGCCTGTTTCCCAAGAGGAGGCAAAGACAGTGAGGAATGTGGTGGTTTTCAACCAGCCCCTACTCCAGCGTCTGGCTCGCTCGACTGTTCTACAGCTGAGTGTTTGTCAGTTGGCATCTGACCATTTCTCACCAACAGATGTGTGGCACACACTCAGACCTCCCGTTAGGTCTGTGCCACCCTGTGCTTCTGGTTATGCTGTCCTTCCACACGGAACGCAGAGCACCCTGGCCGTAAGTGCCTTCCTCTAGGTGGGGTCTCTGCCCACTCCTTGCCCTTGGTTTTCTCACCTGGTTTTCAGTGCTCCTCTTCCTCCCTCCTCAGTCATGGTAACTCTACCACTCCTTGCGCCAGTCCCGATTAGCTGCTCTTCTGCCCCCGGGGAGGGGTGTTTTCCCACTCTACTGGCATCCGGTGTGGCATCTCACTTGTTTTGGCTAAAGGAATTTCAGTGAAAAATTCAACGTTATTGCTGGCAAGTTTGGGCCACCATGGGGTCCTGCCATTGCTGTGCCCTTTGAATGGGCAGTAGATTCATCCTGGGTTCAGAGTGAAGAAGACCACGGGCCACGGCAGCTCCTGAGACGGGGCAGCCAGGATTACAGCACTGGACAAGCTTCACGCTGGAGTCAATCACACAGATTTGGGAGTTATCTGTTACTGCAGTGAATCTGACAAAAATCCACATGAGAACTGGAAACAAGGACTCAAATCCGAGAAGATGATATGTAACGAAGCCTCCATCGAGGGCATTAAAGGGCATCTGTCCATGGAGATGCCCACTGCAGCCGGCCCTTGCCCCCTCCAAGGACATGCTGCGACGAAAGCTACCCTGGTCTCTTCAACCTCATCATCTGAGCCTTCTCACCCTGTGTTGTGGGAACCAATAAAGTCACTGCGCTGGCTCCTGACCGGCTCCTGGATGCCCTTGTTCCTGTGAACGCTGTCCAGCCCCCAAAACTGTGCCCGACTCCTCCTCAGCTGCCCAGGAACCACTCTTCCTCTCCCTCTTCCTTACACCAACATCTCCTGGACGCTCACGCTGAATGGCACTCCGTTTAGGGGCTTGCTAAGAGGACATTACGGACAGATGTCCCAGGTTCACATCCAGGTTCTGCGGGTTGCAAATTATTTGGGGTCCCCTCTTTAAAAGAAGAATGCAAAATTATGAATACCGAATGAGGTGCAGGTCTTGAAGGGCTCACGCGAGCAAGAGGCTGAAGCTGACTCTTCCCTCACGTCATGGCCAGTGCCCTTAGGGGACAGGGGGCCAGTGCCCGTACTGGGGAAAGGGAGGGAGAACRTGAAGAGGACATGGAATTCTCAGGTGATGGACAGAGCTGAGTTGAGAAAAAATGAGGCCACACAACAGGAAATAGCTGGGTGGCTCCTTCAGAGTGGGAGGTGACATTGTTGAATTCTAACTGAGCCCTGTGGACTTGGAAAACGGCAAAGGTAAGAAAGCCCCTCACTCTCTGGGTTCTGGAAAAAGGATGCCCCTTCCCCATATGACCTGGATAGAGGCACAGATGCCCCCGTCTGCCTGGCACAAGGCTCGACACTCACCCTCCAGTTCCCTTCTCTGCCTGTGGGTGACGAGCTGGACCGCCGGTGCCCGCGTGAAGGGCAGCAGAACATTGCACCAGAACCTTGGGAAGGCTTCACTAAGGGCCTGGCTCACCTCGGCAGGTGGAGCTGGACCCCTGAGAGGAAGCTGCTCTCAGGGTAAGGCCATGAAGCCACGCCCCAACCCAGTCTCCCTCCTCTCTACACAGAAGCCCCACCCACTTCTGTGGAGCCCATTGTCCCCTCCCACTGCCCACTGCCGCCTGCCCCAGTCCATCCCATACCTGCCACCAACTCTCCATGTCCAGAGTTGGGTTTCTGTTTGGTAGGGGTTAAAACCGGCTTCTCTGAGGAGCTATTTAAACAGACAGGACTGTGGGTGAGGCGAGAAGTAGGATTCTGGGAAATATTCTTGTTTTGAAAAGAAAGGAGAAGGAAGAGGATGGAGCCATGGGGGCATGAGCTGGGGGTGAGGGTGTGGGACGGAGTTAAAGGGGCCAGAGAAAAGGAAGCGAGGAGGCCAGGGAAGGGGAAAGGAGGCCTGGTCAGCCCTCCTGCAACTCCTCTGCAGATCATGTGTTCATTGAGCACCTACTACATGCCATCACTGTGCTGGGTGGCAGGGCCGAGGTGGTGGGCAAGATGGACGTGGGCCTTACTCTGCAGTCTAGAGGAAAAGACAAGTGTTAACCACATCTTATCTCTAACAGTCTGAGTGTTATTGGACAACACTGAGGCCTGCAGGAGAGCAGATTACAGGCCACCTGATTTAAAGTCACAGGAACCTGAGGAAGCCAGTTTTACTCAAAATGCACCCGTGACTGTCAATGTTGTAGTTGTGGGTGTGTGAGGAGCACAGGATGGGGCACCTGTGCAGTTTGCCACTTGGCCAGGCAGGTGGGTGCAGAACTGGACAGCAGTGTCTTATGGAAGACAGGGAGGCCTGGCTGAGCACAGGAGGCTGAAATCCGGGACCCTCTCCATGCACCCACCACAGACAGGCTCATGTCCCTGTCGGTCATTCCCTGAGGGAGTAAGGCTTCTGCATCACTGGGAGCTTCAGCAGATGGTTTTCCAAGTCTTGTCCCCCAAGGGCTTCTCGTGGATGTCACAGAGGTGCCGTCCTAGTCTTTGGGACAGGTGGACTGGGGTGCAGGTCGTGAAGGCCAGTAAACACTAGCAGTGCAAGGGCGACTGAGAGTGTACAGAGAGCGACCCTTCAGATCCCACCCTATCTCAGGGACGTCCCTGCAGAAGGAGGTCACAAGGACCCGGGCACCCAGAGCTGTTCTGCAAGGAAGAGGTCTCTGCTATGTGCGGAGGCAGGCTCAGGACCGCTGGAGCAGTGGGTGGACAAGGGGATGCTGCGGCGGGTCAGCTTCGGGTGGTGGGCATGGGTCAGCTTTCCGGGGTGGCGAACGGCTGGGGCTGCAAGCGAAAAGGTGGGCCAGGTCGGGGCTGCGGGCTCCGGGGCCGCAGAGCTGCTCGAGATGGTGGCGTCCGTGCGTCCGGAGGCTGCGAGGGGACGYTCTCACAAGCCCTGGGGCGGAGGCCAGCAAGCCAAGCCAGGCGCCCACGCCACTCTGGCCCCTCCGGGGGCGAGCGCCCTCCGGGCCGGGGCGTGACTTCGGGCGTGTCCGCTGGACAGCAGGGCATGGCCAGGGCGCTGGGGGCGTGCCGGGTAGCTAGGCGTGGCATCCGGAGAGGTGGGCGTGGCATCCGGAGAGGTGGGCGTGGTCAGGGCGCCCAGGTCCGCCCGGGGTGGGGCGGAAGCGCACTGGGCCCGGGCCGCCGGCGGGGGTCGCGGAGAGCCGTCGGGAGTCCCCGAGGACATGGCGTCCCCGGCTGTGCGCCGCGCGCTCCTGGGCTGGGGCCTGGCGCTGTGCTGCCTGTGGTGCGCGGGCGCGGGGTGGAGGTGAGTGCGCGGGCCGGGAGTGCGGGCCGGTGCCGGGCCGCCCCGCGCCTCCTTCCGCTTTCTGTTCTGGGGCCCGCTCGGCCGCCAGCCCTCGCGTCCCTTCCGCGGCTGCCGCCTGTCCAGCCGCTAGGGGAGCGCCGGCCGTCGCGACTAACCCCGATGATAACCGTGCAGCGGACACCAACATCGGAAGACCACTTTCTAATCTTTTCCCTGGGGTTTGGGTGAGGGTCCGGCTGATAGCATTTCATAGTTGCACAGTGGGGGTGGAAAACGGGATTTTACCTTTCAATTAAGCATCATCGCTGTTTTGGAATAGACTTAAGAGACAACTTTGTAGTTCAGAGTCTCCAGAAAGGGTATTTTCTAAGAGCTACGTTTGCATACTTTCCCACTTGCCCTAAGGAAGTAGCCCGTGAGCAGCGCGAGTGCCACCTGCTAGGTGCTCTCCAGCGGTGTGCCCCTGGAGCCCTGCTGCTTGGTCCTCACCTGCCCGCGGAGCTAGTATCAGGAGGCAGCATTAGGGGTACAGGAAGGGCTTGGAACAATTCCTGATGGATGGAATCCAGGTGTGTTTGCTGGAAACCTTAATTTGCATTATGTGGCACTCCCAGACTCTCACTTAACTCCTGCAACTGATGTAATTGTGCTGGTTTGGGAGAGCATGGGGCAGACTCCAAGGGCATTTCCCAAGTACTAACTGGGGTTGAAAACGTGGGTCTTCTGTGCTAAGTGACTCTTCTCTTGAGCCTGTCTTTGTTTCTTCATGGATAGAGTAGGTCGGATGGGTCTTTGCTCTTGTCTGGATGATAGATGGGAGATTTTGCTACAAATGTAACATATGCTCCAAATCTTGCTGGGTTTATTGTAACATACTGATGTGGACTTCCTGGAAATTGCTTCACTTTGCAGCCTCAGGTTTGGGTAGCACCAGGGCCATGAAGGCCTGACCCCTAACACTACCCCAGCTTGGTTCTCACACTGCAGTTCCTCTCTTTTTCTTTTATGCAGAGAGGGTGCATCATCAGTTCAGATTTCCACCATGATTGTGATTTCCCTACTTACTCAACAGTACACGATTATTTACAGAAGCTTGTGAAACCAGAGTTTTGAGATAAAACTAGGCTCTCTGCTTCACCAATTTCTTTCTAGGTTCTTGTCTGGCAAACTTGAAGACTAAAATCCATGGACAATAACTGAAGGGAAGAGTAGACAGAGTAGGATTTATTGAAGTGAGAAGAGGTAAAACTCACGCCGTGTGGGAGGAGACCTACAGCAGGGAAGTCCACTTTGGTGCTCTGGCTTCAGGACTTACTTGGTTGGGGGTTATGAACACAGACAAATCTATGTCTAACAGGCATTGAAAAATCACCAAGGGCCCTGGTTGTGTCTCTTAGCCTGGGTTTGTTTTTAAATATATATATATTTTTAATTGTCAATGGATGTTTATTTCTATGAGGTGCTGAGAATCAAACCCACACCTGCTAGGGAAGTGTTCTACCACTGAGCTACAGTCCCAGCCCTTAGCCTGAGTTTTAATCCTTCCTGTAACAACCATTTGGTGCACTTCACCTTCTATTTTCCCACCTCTCTGGGACCAAGGAGTGGGCTGGAGTGTTCCCGTAAATAGTCTTTTACATTTGAAAAACACCTGCTCAGTTGGTGCTCCTTCATCTTTTTACTGGTTAGCCTCTATGTGTGGACTCTGCCTTTGAATAAGACCTAAACTGGAGCCCATTGCCTGAGCATTTCTCACTGGATTCTTAACCCTACAGTGTTGCAGATTCTATGCTTAGGAGGAATTTTCCTTATCTGCCTGAGTTCAGGTGTGGTCTGTGGAAGGGTCACTACAATCTCCCCCTCTGGCTAACTTGGGTTTCTTTTCTCCACATTATTTTGGGCCTGTGTTCCTCACACAGGTAACAGGTGGTTGGCTGAGGAATGGGACATATCCTGTCCACCTAGGCCAGTCAGAGCTGCCGGTGGATTGTTTACTGAAAAAGGAAGCATGTGGGGGTCAGCACCTGGGCCCAGTTTATAGAACTGGTCCCTTAACCTCATGTTCCCACCATTCACATCTGTCCACCCCCGTCACTGGTTGGAGCCGCTGATTTAGTTCACTCTGAGTCTTCGTAACTCTTGACTTGCCCTGAATGAACTGTCAGCCTGACTGCTGACCTTTTTCACTTATATGTTTGCCAGCTGCACTTCTACTTTGATCTCTTTGCATATTGAGCCTTGTAAATATGGTTAGAGGCTCATCATGGTCCGTTTTGTGTGCTGTAGTGAAATACCTGTGCCAGCTACTTAGGAAGCAAAGGCTGATTTTTGCTCTCAGTTCTGGAGGGTCAAGGGCATGGCTGCAGCACCCACTCAGCTCCTGCCAGGACCACATGGCATGGCAGTGGGCACAGGGGCAGGAGGAAGGATCACGTGGCCAGAGGAGCTGAAGGGGGGGCAGGCTCAGGCCCTGTCACAGCCCTCATCCCTTCCTAGACCCACCTTTTAAAGGTCCTGCCACCTCCCAGCAGGGCCCCCTGGAGACCAGGTCCCAACACACCAGTTTGAGGGGACCAACCATGGCGGGCCTCCTGCTGAAGAGCTCTGAGTGTGGGAACTGCAGCTGCACCGCCCTCAGCAAAGTCAGGATTGGGTGGGCTTCTGTATTCAGGGGGTGGGGGATGGTGCACGTTCTAGGAGACACGTGAGAAGGCGCGTAACGGAATGTTTTGAGAAAAACTTTGCTTTGGTGGCAAAGGAGAAGCACAGGGGACTCCTGTCCTGGAGGCTGTGATTCTGCGGGTCGGGAGGAACTGGAGGCTTTGAAAGAGGGGGTTCAAGGGCTCCCTTCCTGGTGTTCCCTGTTGGCGTGGTCATTCGCTTGTTGATTTGGGGGATGGTCATTCCTTAGATCTTCTGGTGCCATCCCAAAGWCTGAATTATTTCATTCCTATGATGGGCGTGTGTCAAGGACAGATAACTCTGCCTAGGTCAGGGAAGAAAGATAATTCTGTTCCCCCTGGGATTAGGGAGGAGCAGGGAGAGAAGAGAAAGAAACTTGTCCATTTTAAAAATAAGTCAGTGGCAGAGCAGCAAGGGCAGGATTCACAGCCTAAGTGGACCCCAGTTACAGGTGCAGCGCCCACACTGCATGACCTGGGGCAGCGTGTACACACGCTCTAGATAACACCGTGACAGGCACTGCACAGGCCGTGCTCCAGGTGACATGCCTGCTGTGTGTGCCCCGGCCATGCTCCAGGAGACGCACATGACGGGCTGTGCGCTGGCATGCTCTAGGTTGCCACGGTGGCTCTGCAGTAGCACCCTGTGATCACATGACAAACATGCAGAGCAGCCTGTGAATCTGAACCCTGAGTGGTGTAGTGAGGGTAGCCTTCCACTAGTTGTGTTTTGTTGTTACATGAATTACAAAAAGATACCCGGTTTTCAGGATCTGTTGGACTCACAAGTCGTCTGTAAGCGTTTCTGAACTGCTGGGGCAGTGGCAGGAGAAAGGTGCTTCAGGCCCAGTTGGGTCCCTGGGCAGGACCCTCCCTGGCTCACCCCTGCCCGTCCTCTTCTGCTTGTGTGTTCTTTGCCACGTGACGCTGTGTGCCACCACGCACAAGTTCTTAGAGTGCTTGTTGCCTTCTCTGTGGCTTGGGCACCCCAGGAGGTGGGGGCTTTGTTCCTGATGGTGCCCCTAGTCCCATGGGTACTTAGTGTTGAATGGATGAATTAATTTTTCTGTAACTTTAAAAATGTTACTGAAAAATAAATATTTTGTGTTTTCACAGTGGTGGCCATGAGTGGAAGAAACTAATTCTGACCCAACACTGGCCCCCAACAGTGTGCAAGGTGAGTTTTCCTGGCCCTGGATCCAGGGGGCCTGGAGAGTCAGTTTGCTGCATGGGAGCTGCCTTGGGTGCCACTGGCCCACTGACCTCCAGCCTCCTGCCTTCCCCAGGGTGCTGCTCGGCAGATCTGTGCCTGCCAGCAGGACACTGCCAGAGGGCTGGGTGCTGTGTCCCAGGGCGGCTGTGGAAGTCACAAGTGGAGTGGCTTAGAACCCCAGAAATGGGTTTGCCGGCAGTTCTGGAGCTGGAAGTTTAAGATGGGGACATGGTTTGGGGGTTCTGAGGGAGAGTTTGTTCCAGGCTGTGTCCTAGCTTCTGGTAGGGCCACAGTCCTTGGCGTCCTAGGCTCACGGGTGCATTGTCCCACGGGCATAGGGGCTTCTCCGCCTCCTGAGTCTACCAGTGGCTGTGTTTAGGGCCCACCCTAATCAAATATGACCTCACCTTATCTTAATGACATCTGCCAAGACCTTACTTCTAAGTAAGGTCACAGGTAGAGCTCCAGGACAGGGATGTGTCTTTGAGGGACACGGTTCAGACTTGGACTCGTCTCCTCCTTTGGTGTCATTGGAAGTTGGAGACCTGTCTCCCGTGGGCGGGAGGGAGCCAGAACCGTGCCTGCCCCTCTGCTTCTCTGAGTGACACCAGCARTGCCCTTCCCCCTCTGGCTTGACCTCTCCGTGTCTGCGGCTCTGTCTGCTTTGGGCCTTGTGTCCCTTCTGGCGGGTGTCTGTGTCCAGGCTCTTCCTGTTGGAGCTCACCAGCTGAGGCCCTGCTCCCACAGTCCCTGCCTGGCCTGTCCTCTGGCTGGGCAGCTTAGAAGCGCATCTTGTGGGTCAYGGCTCCGTTACGGGAATCCATGGCATTGCCAAGCCAGCACTCACCTTGAGGACTGGGTCCTGGGCAGGCGGGTTTTACATTTGGAGGCCTCTCCATCATGCGCAGTCCCATGCCTCGCCCGCCGGGGCCTGCAGGCCTTCTCTGGGCTTCAGCTTCCTCAAGATTGCTTCCTGCTGTCCTCACCCAGTGACGGGAGCTCTCTCCTAGCATGTCCACGGTGGCCTTGGACTGCTCCTGTCTTGGCCTTCCACTCCTGCATGGTGTCCCAGTCCCCTCCGGTGCTGTCTCTGTGGCCTAGGGTGGAACAGAGTCATGATGAGGGCGCAGGGCACAGGGTTCGGCCAGCTGGAGCCTGGCCTGCACTCCAGGCGCTGAGCAATGGCTGACCACCTTCTTACTGGGATCAGGATAACCTCCTGTCTTCCCCTCCTTGTGGGTTGGTTTCCAGTTTTCAATACTCATTACTTCACTAGGGTATTTATGCCTGGGAGGAAGCGGGAATGTTTGCTGCATGGGAGCTGCCTTGGGTGCCACTGGCCCACTGATAATGAGAAGAACAGAAATAGCGGTCTCATTCTGTCCCTGAAGTCGCGGTTCTGAGGACTGGCCTGGAGCCTGCAGCCCGATTTAGTTCCTTCCCTGCAGTGAGCTTGCCGTAGATCAGCACTGGATGTACCTGGCGTTGATAGCGTACCCGTGCCTTGCTGACGTACAGTGACAGAACTTGGGGTGCTGAATGAGCTTCACAGGGAACCAAACCTCTTCTGTGTCCTTCTCCCCAGGAAGCTGACAGCTGTCGGAACTCTCTGGACTATTGGACGATACACGGACTATGGCAAGCATCAGACGCCCTGGGGCGGTGAAGGGGCAGCAGCGGATATGAGTTCCAGCTCGTCGCATCTTCACCGTGTTGCGCTTGTTGTTTTTGTTAGGAGTTTATACAGTGGGCCGGATCTTTATTTAAAATGTTTTCAGCCTTTCTAACGTAACCCTAATTCCATTGTTTAGTTCTGTTGGGCTAGACTATTAACTATCCATTTTAAATATGTGCTAAGGGGTTCTAGGTACATTGTGGGGCCCCCAGATTTTAATTTTATTTCAGTATTTCTTTGGGCCCATAATAAGTGAATGTAAGGATAGATGAATAAGTGAGAGAGAGAGAGAGAGAGAGAGAGAGAGAGAGAGAGAGAGAGAATCCATGTTGTGCTCACTTGCAGGATCTGAGCTCTCCATTCTGGGTTTGCCTGCTTTCTGCTGGAGCTCTGTGTGCACTCCTGTCATGTTCTGTCCTGTGCATTTTCGCTTGTGCTGGACGGGGCCCCCTGGCCCATGGAGGATGGGCTGGTTTGCTCTTCCCCTCCTTCCTTGTTCTTAGTTATGGGGGTTAGTAGGAAACAAATTCGGTGGGACCTGGGCACCCACGTCTAGTTCCAGTTCTCTCCAACTCTCCAGGTCGCAATAGGCCAGCCTCTGGGACCTTGGCCTCCCCTGGACTTTGCTAGGTGCCCTCTGCTGTCCTCAGATGCCCTGTTGTGGCTGCTGCCTCTCTGAGCCTGGAATGAAAACCTACCGGGCTTTCCTCCCTCCTTCCAGCAGGCGAAGGGTGCAGGTTTCTGCAGCTCGGCATCCTGTGCTGTGACCTCGTGGACAGGCTGCACTGGGCGTATGCGTTGGTGTGTCCAGAGTCAGACTTGTCCTGATAGAATACAACTCAGAGGCAGGAGTGTGCGTGTGTCCCAACAGATCCAGCAAAGGTGTCCTCGCTGGTCTTGTCATGGGCCAGGCCCTCTGTGAGCCTGCCGGTCGTGTCACCTCGCTGAGTGCCATCACCCTGTAGAGGGACACAGGCTGTTCTCAGGCTGTGTCTGGGCATGCCCATGCCCAGGTCAGACCCCCGAGAACCTCTTGCTGGAAGACGGCTGGGGTGGGGCCGACTCCAAAGTGCCCCTGCTGGGTCGTTTACAGAGCTTCCCCTGCTAACAACCTGTGTGTGTTATTCCTGGGTGTTTTTAACACTCTTTCCTCTTCAAAAGTAACTCAGACTGCGATAACGGGCATCTGGGCACCCTTTGTTAAATGACTCGTGTGGGTGCAGAGTTCCCAGAGGGAATTTCTCTTTCTGTTCGCTGCAGACTTTAATGTGTGTGTTCTGATGTCATTTCAAGCCAGGCTAATATTTCTTGTTTTGTGTCCTTTCATTTGGATCTCCAGGCCTGACAAAGGAGAAGAATGCAATCGATCGTGGCACTTCAATGTAGACGAGATTAAGGTATTAACTTTTGATCATATTTCTGCTGTGGTAAAGCATCGAACAGCATTAACTCTTCTTCCCAGGTGTACCTTCCAAGTCATGTTTCAGATTCCAGGTTGAGGAAGTCTCCTGTAGGATGGAACCCCGGTGAYGTTTTAGTAACTATCAGTACAGAAAACAACCTCATGAGTTAAATGGAAGCCGCCTGTCTCACCCTCTGCCCTGGGTCTGAGCCACTGCAGGAGCGAGTGTGGGAAGGTGCTCAGGCGGGCCAAGGCGGCCCAGACCCGATGCTCCTCTCCAGGCCCTGGGCTCCTGGGTCAGGGCTGCATGGGTTTCTGGTTGGCGTGGGATGTGGTGTGGTGACTCCAGGCAGCTGTGCACAGGGTACTACCTAGGCCRGCCATTCTGGCCATGGTGGGACTGGTTTCCAAGTATAGACCCTGAATGAGGGATGATGCCCAGTCCACTGCAGAMCTCCGGGTAAGGATTAAGTCAGAGGGCTGCAGTGTATGAGCGCTGGCAGCCGAAGGGCTCTTGGACACTTGTCGTTCCTGTGGAGTGTAGAACCCGCCCGACTCATGCTTTGTCCTTGCTTAGAGGAGCCTGCAAATCTCACGTGTAGTCTGGCACACGTCGGGTAACCGGGGTGGTGGGGGGGCAGGGCAGGCCGCATTGTGGACCGAGAGGAGCAGGGCAGGCCTGGAGTGGCCCCTGCGTCCAGGGGGCCTGTGAAGACAGTCAGTCAGGGGGGGCGGTTGATGAAGTAGTGCCACAGGGCTCTGTTCAGGGTCTGTGAAAGGAGGGCCAGGATGCCTTCTGCACTGGGCCTGGGGCAGCTGGTGGGACACTCTGCTCCCACGTGGCATCATGTCCAACTCGGCACTTGTCCCAAACCAGAGTGGCCTGGGGTGAACCATCAGTGACATTGTCAGCCTGTGTCTTCTCCCGGGGGCTGGTGGTGGCTGAAGACTGAGTGGGGGGCAGGTGAGGAGGGACTCTTTTTCTGTTTTRGCAGGGCRCTTAACCACCGAGCCACGTCCCCAGCCCTTTTTATTTTTTTATTTTGAGAWAGGGTCTTGCTGAGTTGCTTAGGACCTTGCTAAGTGCTGAGGCTGGCTTTGAACTTGGGATCCTCCTGCCTCAGCCTCCCGAGCTGCTGGGATTACAGGCGTGGCCGCGTGCCTGGCTGAGGGAGCTGTCTTGATGGCGGGCAGCTCTGAGAGAAGGGGAGGCAGAAGGGTGTRTTTAGAGGGCAGGAGGCCAGTTACTGGAGCACTGATGGGCACTGAGGGTCGCGTTGGAGATGGAGAAAGCAGTCACCCTCAGTTTGTTTATAGGCGCACGGAGCCTCTGTGAACAGGCTTCTTGTCGGCATGCACTGAGGTGCCTCCGTGTCTTTTCTGGCTTGGTGGCTTCTTTTAGTGCTGAGTGATAGTCCACGGTCTGGATGCACCCGTGTAGCCTTTCGTCCATCATGCCCTTGTACRATCGCTCAGATTTTAGTCCTACACAGATCTTAAGAAACACTTTGCAGGACTACTTCACTCACCTGGGAGTTACACATAAGCACAAGGTTGAATGTCTGAAAACGTTAGTTTACCCACTCGCCTTCTGGGCTTTGTGTTTGTGGGGTCTGGTGTAGACTGTTTTCACTTATTTTAAAAATTATGTGTAGGACCTCGTGCCGGACATGAAGATATACTGGCCCGATGTCATTCACCCCTCTTCCAACCGCACCCAGTTCTGGTAAGTGGCAGCCTTCCTGCCAGGCTGGGGAGCTGCTTCGTGCACTCTGAACGGGAGCTCTGGGCGACAGGGGGAGCAGGCGGGGCGGGGGCACCTGACTTCTGGGGCTGGGAAGCAGGAACACCCTTGATATGGAGATGACTCATTTCGCCAGTCTTGGTGGCTTTCTCCGGTGGGGAAGAGGTGAGGGACAGCAGAATTGACCTTACAAAGGTGTTTTCTCTCCTGTGTGCTTTCATTCACTACTTCATTTAAGATTTCTCTCTACTAAAGACAAAATAAGTGAAGTACTTGCATGTCTTCATCCAAATTAGTCAGGAGTGAGTATTTCTTAGGGATATTGTGCTGTTCTCTTGAAATACATTTTAAAAAGAAGACCTACCTACAGATCATGGCCTCATCCACATCTGGGGAGTAGAGAGGGCGGGCTCCGTGCCTGAGGCCCGGTTCACGGCACCTACCCGGCCTCCCAGGCAGGGCTTCCTGAGCTCTCACCTGTCGCCCAGGAGTGGGCGCCCCAGGCAGAAGGGCTGCAGTCAGCTCAGGAGAGCGTCTAAAGTCACTGCTTTATAGAAAGATAAAACTGACATTCCTTTTATTTGCATTGTTTGAACTGAAGGTAATTCTTTTTCCCCAACATGTTTCTCTAATATGACAACCTGTGATTCAGATCATAACTAATCTTTCCCAGAAAGATTAATCAGCCTAGAAATATTTTTATGTACGATTTTCAGGGAAAAAAGAAAAGCTGAGTTTAGCAAAAGGCTTTTTGTAATGATGGAGTGAAAGAGATGACCCCCTGGCCTGTCCTTCATGGAGTCACTCCCACTGAGAGTCTGGTTGCTGACTAGCTCAGGCCTCAGCACTTGTTCTKCAGCCTACATTCCAGAAAGTGGCTTCCGAATAGGTCATTACCATCGTGAGTTGAAGCAGGGAACAGGAGAAACCTCTGCGTGTACTTCAGTGTGTTTCAAATGATGAACCTGGTCACGGTGCCGGTGAGTGTTCAAGTACTGGAGAGAGTCAGCCTAAAAAGAGGGAAGGTGGACTCTGGCTCATGGTCTTGGAGGTTTGGGTCCATGGTTGCGTGCCCCAGTGGCTTTGGGCCTTCGGTGGCATACATAGTGCCTCACGGCAGGAGCGCTTGGCAGAGGAGGCTGCTGCTCATGTCAGCTGGGAACAGGAAGGCGGGGGTCCCAGTTCCCCTCAGAGGCACACCCTGGTGACTAGTTCCTCCYGCTAGGCCCACCTCTCTGTGAGTCCCCACCACCTCCCGGTGGCCCTCAGGCTGGGGTGACCAAGCCTGTGATACTGGGCCGTGGGGACGTTTCAGATCCAAGCTGCAGCAGTGACTCGGTGGGCAAAACCCGGCTCCAGGGGAGCCCCGTGTCCTGATGGAGGAGCCAGATTTCAGGCAGATCACAGATAACCCAGCCAGCAGAGAAGACAGCCTCTGAGCTGGTCCTGCTGCTTAGGGCAGCATGGGCAGGGTACGTGGCCGCCTCAGTGCTCTGGCACAGGCAGGTGATGACCGTCCTTCTGCAAGCTGAACTCGAATCACCGCTCAGCCTCTGTTCCCAACAGAGGGCAGCCATGCCCYTGGTTGGCGTTCCCACTGCTGAGAGCGCCTCCCACACCCGAGGGGAGGGGTGCTCCTGTCTGCCTCCCGAGGCCCCACTCCCTGGCTCTGCGTCCATCAGGTGTCCCCAGCTTTCCACAGGGAAGCGTCCGGGGAGGGAGGCGTACAGAGAACGTGGTGAACCCCACCCAATCCAGCGTGCGTAGGAGGGTGTCTTGGCATTTATGGCTTGAGGTTTAGGATAGTTCCTAAGGTCAGCCACCATGAAGAGCRTGTGTAACAGCCCTCTACAGAGTAAGGGCTTTGGTTCTGTTTTCTGATTCTTATAAGAAAACGAAGGAGATTTAGGTCACACCCAGCTTGGCCATGCAGCCTCCCGGGGGCTGTGTCAGCCTGAGGGGCACCGGAGGGGTATGTGCCTCTCAGCGCTGACCGGAAGGTGATGGTGAGGGTGACCCCTAGGGCCTCTACCCCAGGCCCTGCTCTGCCCTTGGTGGGCCAGCCAAGGCATGTCCAAGGAGAGGGCAGCACCCAAGACACCTGGGATTAGTAACCAACCCTGTCGATGGTAAATGRAAGACTGTCCAGGTCTAAGTGATGGGAGTGAATATTGTGAGCTACATTGCTATCAATATTTTCACATATTCCTACCTCTAAGGTCGGTGGAGTCAAGCTTGCTCTGAAGGTAAGAGTAGTTGACTTTTTTGACATTCATAGTCAGTGTGACTGTGCGCTGAGCACGATTTTTGCTTGTTTGCTCGCCACAGCGTCCCTGTGGGACAGGCCACAGGTCATTCCATCCCTCTGGTTTCTCTGCAGTTACCGTTCAGCTCCCTTTGCTGGACCGTGGAATATAGAAAGTGGGTGGAGAAGGCTAGTTATTCACCCGTGTCCACCCTTCCTGTGTTCAACCTCCCTGCTTTTCCCGGTCCCAGAAGCTCGTCACCTCTATCACAGTTCTCTAAAACTCCGACTGTAGGTGAACTTTGCCACCAATTCATGCACAGATTGTGCTTTCGAAGGACTCATGTTAAGAGCTCTGTAAGTGGTGGCATAGATGTTATCTATTAAAGCTTCACGAGTTGATCCCTGGTGGACCTGGGGACCTGACACCCCTTGGTCTTCCGTGCTAACCCTGGTTGTGTCTGAATTGTCAAGTTGTCAGCCGTCCTGAAGGTGGGTGCACGTTCTGTTCAGCGTTTGATTGGATGGCAGTGTGGCGTGCAGGGCCCTGACCTGGGCATCGAGATGGTTCAAGGGCAGGCTCTGGGACAACCTGGTCCTGTGACCTTCAGCAGGAGACCTAGCCCCTCAGATACTCAGCTCCCATTGCTGAATGGGCAGTAGTGGTCTGCCCCGCAGTGTTGTGAGAGCCAAGAGGAGAACGTGAGCCGTGGGGTAGACTACAGTAGAACCTCAGGAGCTGGCAGCAGCCATGATTTTCGGGAACAAACTGCTGCTCATCTTTGGCTTGGTCAGGCCCCTTGGCTGTGTGTGATCATCTCCTGTGGAAAGGCTGCACCCACTGTAATGGTCAGTGGTGGCCGAGAGGGGCCTGGCAGAGCCATCCTGGGTGATGGATCTCGTGCCTTTCTCGACCTCCTGCGTAGGAGCGGGCTGTGCTGCCGTGGAGCTGCCCGGTCTGTGGCAGCAGACTGCCCACAGCTGGGTGGGCAGTCTGGACAGTGGTGTTTCTTTATCTCACTTGGAGTGTTCTGCTGAGCAAGCCGATTGCTGGGGTGAGCTGCTGGGAGGTAGGAAGCCGAGGTACAGGGGGCACCTTGGGCACGGGCCTGTTCCTGGAGCCTTGTCCCAGGCGCAGGTGAAGTAGGTGCTGATGCTGCGGATGCTGTTTGCCTTCCCGTGGTGAGGGTGGTGGCGCGGCCCAGGTGCCGGGGCGTGTCTGAACCCTGCTCTGAACCCCCAGGAGGCATGAGTGGGAGAAGCACGGCACTTGCGCTGCCCAGCTGGACGCCCTCAACTCGGAGAGGAAGTACTTTGGGAAGAGCCTGGCTCTGTACAAGCAGGTGGACCTCAACAGGTGGGTGTGTCCTCTACAGGCTCCCAGCCTGGGCCCAGGGCAGGCGTGAGTGTGGACGGTGATCTGCTGGCAGCCCCTGCCGCCCCTGAGCCCCACAGTCGGTGGCCCAGGCTTCGGCTGCCTCCCTGGGCACTGACCTGCTGTGGAGTGGCCGGTTGGCCCAGTGGGGGGTGGAGAGGCGGCAGAGCTGCTGCCCTGCCGTCTGAACAGCCACTTCCCGAGTGCCCAGTGAGTCTGCAGCCTGTGGGACTGGAGCGGGCAGGAGCAGCGGGCCAGAGCCCTTGAGCCCTAGAAGTACCCCAGGCCCACGGACCTGCGCCTGCCTGCCCTCGCCTCATCCCTGGGGTCGGGGAGTGGGCTATCACCAGGCAGGAGCCAGTGAACTTGTGAGGAGGTGTGTCCTGCAGGGGCCAAGTCAGTCCACTCATTGCCAGTCTGGTCACTGAGAGGGCTCAGGGCCAGCCCTGCCCCTCCCCAGACACGTGTTCACTGTTCCTTATTGTGAGGTCATGATAAGCCAGGGACAAGTTTTTAAAAGTGACAGGACAGCGAGGGCGTGTCAGCCGGGAGCCCGGCCTGCAGAGGGCTGAGTGTGCTGCCCCTTGCTCCAACTCACCCCAAGTGGTGGAGGGCTGGGCCTCCTGGGTGGGATCGCTGCCCTTATCCAAGACCCCAGGGAACTCCCCCTTGTGAGGACGGCGAGCGGCGCAGGCCACGAGGAGTGAGCTGGCATCAGGCACCAGATCTGGCTGCACCCGTCTCTGGCTTCCTGGCCTCCAGACCTGGAGCTACGCGCCTGCTGACCTAAAGAAGGGGAAGAGGAGATTACGCAGTGTCTGCGCTGCTGCCTGCTTTCATCCGGGAGCTTTTCCTTCAGACGAGACGCGTCCCAGGACCCTTCACCCCTCAGCCACGTCCTGGGTGCTCAAATGGGATCTGTTTAGAAGATGAATAAGCTCCCCTGGTTCTGTGGTCACCTGCCCTGCCTCCTCAGAGCCTGAAGGCATCACCGTCTCACACAGACAGTTTCCTGCATCTTTGGGATCAAAAACAGGGAAATCTGAATCGATGGGCCAGACCCAGGACAGGAGGGGAGTCGGAGGCGTGTCGAAGGGCACGCTGTGGAGGAGTCTGAAGCTGACGGCTGCCAGAGCACAGGGCTTTAAGTGTGTGCTGGCCCTGAAGTGAGGTTGTCTGCCTCCTGGGGTCACCTTCCACGTCTCAGGGCGGATGGCTGGGCGGCCTCACCGTCTTAAAATCTGCAGTGTCCAGTGCACTCCCTAGGAGGTGTCCGGCCAGCAGAGTGTCACAGATGAGCTGTGGACTTTGTGCATTTGACCTGTAGCTTCTTCTAGAGGGAGCAGTGTTCTTTTAGCAAGAACAGGACCCGTGGAGGGGCCTCTGCAGAAAGAGAAAGATGCATCTGCACACGACCCAGGTCCCACCGCGGTGTGAGCTGAGGCTGGCTTTGCACCCAGGGCTTTATTCATCCAAAAGAAAAAGAATAAGTAGATATTTGTCGAGTTTTTAAGTAAGGCATCTAAACAATCAAGTGGTGTCTTTTTGCAGCTTTTGAAATGTAGCTTTCTGCATGTTCACCTTTGCAGAAGCGTAGCCCTGGAGTTTCTGGGGTAACTGGGAGGCCAGAGCTGCTGGCCCCATGCTGGGGCAGGCCTGCTGAAGGGACGCATACTGGGACTGCACTGCTTTTGCAGAGAATCAGTTATAGAAAAATTACATGCTCTCCAGTTTCTCCAAGGAAAATACAAAATTTATTGCATTCATAAAATTAAGAAGTTGAAATACAAAACAAGAACCCTTACTTTTTTTTTAATAAACCATTGCAAATTATCTTTTTGTTATAGGATGTAAACAAGTTATCAGGAACTGTAGGCAGGTATCTTTGTTTTGTTTTGAACTCGGGGGCACTTAATCACTGACCACATCGCCAGCCCTTTTTATATTTTGTTGTGTGACAGGGTCTTGCTAAGTTGCGTAGGGCCTTGCTAAGTTGCTGAGGCTGGCCTTGAACTCCCCATCCTCCTGCCTCAGTATCCCCCTGCCTCAGCCTCCCGAGCCTTTGGGATTATAGGCATGGCCACTATGCCCAGCCCTATAGACAGTTTTTGATTCACTGTAACATGAGGGCGGCAGACGTGAAGCTGCAGAGCACCTGTGGGGGCCACATGAGCACCTACAGGTGAAGACCTGGGGTGGACGCCCCACTGGCCTTGCGCACCATGTGGGTGGACTAGGTGCCCTGTTGCCTGTCCTTCTCCCATTGCATTTTTTCCGTGGTCACCTGTGTCAGAAGGCACTGCCCAATGGAAATAGAACCTGAGCTGCAGAATTCACTGTCTCCCATGACCCCTTTAAAGTAGAAGAACAGGTAAAGCTAATTGCAATCATGTATTTTACTTAACTCAGTTTACCTAAGGTATTATCATTGCAGCTCACAGGAAGTATTTTTAAAATCCAAGATATCTCATGCTTTCTCTTGTCGAGGGGATGCAGAAGGCACAGGGCAGGCCGTGGACTGTTTCTGGGGGCTGGGGCATTTCTAGGGCTTGGAGGACCCTTGCCTGCCACCATTTCCTGCTGGTCCTGGGAGCACTGCAGCTGGCTGAGGACAAGTCAGTCCCCAGGGAGTGCTTGGGAGGGGCCGTCTGGGACTTGGCACTGAACCTCCACAGCTTAGTCCGTTGGGTGGCTCCGTGGTGGGCTCTCTGAGGCCGTGCGTCAGGACATGATTCAAGGTTGACAGGCGTGTGACATATTTAAAGACTTGGCCAGATGCAGCTTTCTGGGATAAGCCAGGATTCCAGAAGTCAGCCGCTAACCATCTTTAGAACAGGTACCTCCTGGGAGGCTGTGGAGGGGACAATGGGGAGGCCCAGGAGTGGACGATGGGGAGGCCCAGGAGTGGACGATGAGGAGGCCCAGGAGTGGGCAGTGCTGTGGAGCCCTTGCATGGCTTCTGGAAGGTGCAGATGGAAAGAACCTGTACTGAGGGTGAGAGGGGCAGGGTAGCACCTCGGCAGCTGTCCCTGCAGCAGATGTAGTGCCCAGGGTCACAGATAAAGCACCCTCCTGTGCGAGTGTCTTGATTCTCTCTATGAAATAAGCTTCAGAAGGCCAAAGAAACAAGCCTGCTTTCTACAGCTCACTGTGTCTCCTTAATTTCAGCATGCTCCTGAAGTTTGGGATCAAACCCTCCGTCAATTACTACCACGTGAGTATGGCCTTCCGTCTGACCTCATGTGCACCTGCCCGGGACACCTGCGTGTTGCTCCGCCCCTGAGCCACAGTCGGGCTTTAGAGTGACCCAACATGACCCTTCTCCTGTTCATGCTCTAACTAGCTTCCCCGTGATGTTTTCCTGTTTGCACACGGAGTGTGACAAAGGCTACCTAGACCAATGGTTGGGACGCATTTGTGGCCTGTGCTCGGTAGCAGTGTGCTCCACAGTCTGGGGGCAGGTGGAATTTGAGTTTGAAAAAGGGACATCCATTTTTATAATACGTGATGTTTGAGAAAAAAAGCATTTTTTTTGCGATAGAACTGTGTGATGTAGAAATGGAAGCCTGGCCAAGTCAGATTGCCTGAAAAGGAAGGAAAGCTCTTGGTCCTGGGCTGACAGTTCTCTTGGCCTGCGGCTGCATGCGCTCTGCTAGGAGCTGCTGTGGCCTACAGCGGAGCAGAGTGGCTCAGCTTCGTGACAGCTGCAGCAGAGACAGACATGTCCCCTGCAGAACCTAAGGTGCTACCTCCGTCTTAGTGGCTTGCAGGCTCTGGCTTTAGGGCAGCGCTCAGATTCTTAGGTAGCCGGTGTGCTTATCAGGCTGTGGACGTTACACAGGGWGAGAGTGCCTGTTCAGCAGTCTGACAGCTTGGGCCAGGGCTGGACCCTGAGCGGCTGTTTTGGCCTCCGAGGAGCCAGCAGCTTTGCTGCTGCTGTCCGTGGTGTCTGCCGGACTGGAGACGTTTCCCCAGTTCTCCTCTGGTCCTCCCTCCATGGAGCCCTAGGCTTGAGGAGGGTGCAGCTGCTGCGCCTTGAAGACCTCCCTGCCCAGGCAGCCGCATGGCCCTCTCGGGCCTGCTTTGGCCTCACGTTCCCGTAGACAAGGGTGGTGGGTTTTAGGTTTTGGGGCAGAACTTGGGGTTCAAAGACCCATGTGAGCGCTGAGCCTGTGAGCTCTGGGTGCTCTCTAAGGTGCAGGAAATACGCGGTGGTGACCCAGGGGTCCCTGCTGTGAGAGTGAGTCCAGTTAGCAGGCTTCCTGCTCTGTGTCCAGCATGCAGCTGGACACACACCTGTTGAGCCCTGAGAGAGCTCCCRAGCAGAGGCTGCCTAGGAAAGGTGTTTTTTTAGTTGTAGATGGACACRGTACCTTTATTTTTATGTGGTGTTGAGGATTAAACCTGCTGCCTCACAGGTGCAAGGCAAGTGCTCTGCCACTGAGCCACAATCCCAGCTCCAAAAGGTATAGTTGAAACCAAGGCACAGCATCTGTGAGCACTGGAGGAGTGTCCCAAGTGGGAGGGCCGARGGTGGTGCTGAGGGACAGCAGGTGCCACCGCAGGGACTCAGGAGCAAGTGCCCCAGGAGGGCTGCAGAGCTGGGAGCCATGTCTCTCTGCTGCTCAGCTGCCTAGAGCTGGGGGGATCCAGAGAGGCGCCCTCCAGGGAGGAGTGGGGGCCTAGGCCTCTGGGACTCAGCAAGGGGCCGGGTGACTGGATCCAGCCTGGGCAGTTGGAACTTAAGGTCTCTGAAAGATCCAGGAGGAGAGCAGGCAGGGAGGGAGCCGGTGGGCTGGGAAAGAAGGCATCCAACACCAGGCAGGGGAAGGGGTGGGGAGAGCAGGGCGGCAGGGAGGGGGATTTGCACAGGGTTAGACAGGAYGAGGGAGCACCGAGGGCTGCAGATGGCCCTGGGAGGTGTGAGTCCCCAGGGTCAGTACAGGAGAGGTGGGGGGTGGGGTGTCCCCAGTGGGCAGGGCTGGGGATCGGAGACATGTAGCTGAGGGTCGAGAGGGGGGTGCTCTGAGCCAGTGCCTGTCTTCTGAAAAGGAGGTGGTTGCTGTGTGGTGTGGGGAGAGGCTTGCGGAGTGGGCGGGTGGAAAGGCCTGAGGCTGCAGGGCATGGGCAGGAGCTGGCTTCAAGGGGGCTGCAGTCTGGGCGTCTGAGGAGGGTGGAGAGGAGAGGCTGGGCTGGGCACMGAGGGCGGTGGGAGGGGAGTCAGCTTGCAGTAGAGAGGACTCGTGGATGAGCCCATCCACCATGTCCTCTCCTCAGGGAGGGGGTGGCGGTCATTGTACGTCTCTCAGAGCTGAGCCAGGAGCTCTCTGGGAGAAGAAGGCCTGCCGCTGCGGTTGCTTTCAGTGCGTCACACTCTGTCCTCTGTGACCTTTCYTGTTGAGGCGTCGTTTCTCATACACCTTTATTTAACGTCAGATTGCAGATTTCAAAGACGCCCTCACCAGAGTCTACGGAGTGGTTCCCAAGATCCAGTGCCTCCCACCACAGCAGGTCAGGCRAGCCGGGCTCTCCCATCCTGGCTGTCCTTATCCAGAGGACAAGGTCACTTTCCTGGCAGCTCTGTCTGCACCACAGAGTTCCCGGGGTGGAGCCGCGTTTGTGCATGTGTCTGTACATGTGCTGACACATGCTACGTGTGTGTGCACACGACAGGCTCGTGCTGTGGGCACTAGTGCAGGTGCACACGTGTGTGTGKGGGGGGGTGTTGTGTGTGCGTGCACTGCAGTGTGTTTTGGAATAACCGTGTTTCTTCAGTGCTGTGCTAGAATAGGCTTTGTCCTCTTGCCACTTGCCCTGAAGAGGACATAGCTGGTGTACAGGGACGGGTGGAGTGTGGAGAAGGAAGTGAGGATTTTAGTAAGTTGAACATTTCTAAGTTAGAGAGTTTCTAAGTTTCTGTGTTGCTACTCTTAATTATTTAAACTGCAGTTTTCTGTCAGATTTATAGACAAAACTGTAGTTTCTTTCTTCAGCCAAAAAACATATGGGTTCTTTTTGCAAGAGGGTAGTACGTACTATGAAGTCGTGGTTCTCTCGGGTTCTCGGTGTGGGTGTGAAGTGTGCACTTGGTCCGCCTTCCAAGGTCCCTTCCAAGCTAAGAGCRCCTTCTTTCCCGGGGGCTGCCAGGCTGGTGGGGCGTGAGGCTCAGCGGAGCCGTGCTTCGTGAGTCTCCTGTGCCTACCAGCCTTCCTCTGCTGCTGGGCTTTGCTCCTAGTCTGGCGCCTGCTTGGTTCTCAAGGCGTTTCCAAAGCTTTGGGATCCTGAAGCTGTGAAGGTAGTCCGAGATTTGAATGCTGAAGCGTCTGTCATCTTTGTTTTTAGGATGAGCAGGTGCAAACCATTGGTCAGATAGAGCTGTGCTTCACCAAGGAGGACTTGCATTTGCGGAATTGCACCGAGCCAGGGGAGCAGCTGTCCCCCAAGCAGGAAGCGTGGCTGGCCGAGGGGGCTGCGGCACAGGGGATGGCCGTCTGTGAAGATGGCCCAGTCTTCTACCCGCCTCCAGCAAAGACCCAGCGTTGATCCCCAAATTTGGAAATATTCTGTTTTATAAAAAAAGAGATTCACAAATCACTGCTTTTTAAACATGATTCCAAAGCCTTTTAAAGTGTTCTCTGCTTTTTCCTCCGGTGTCTGTGAAGTGATTTTGACCCTGCCTGGTCACCTGCGCTCCGGGCTCCTCTTCCGTGGACTTAGATCTGCAGCCGAGGTTGTAGTGGGCCTTGTTCCCATCAGAAGGGAATCAGACTCCATCCACTGGTGCGTGATTAGAAACGTCAGTGTGGCCGAGCAGTGCCCCATCCTGAGGTTGTAAGTTCTAGAACCCTGAGACGCCCCTCCTTGGAGGTGTTCTGCTCGGCCTCAGGATCTCGGCCTGGGCCGTGAGGGTAGCGGGGCTCTGTGGAGGGTCTCTTCCTGGTGTGCTTGACTAAACTGCCTTCTGCCCTACGTACTCCTGGGTCTGTCTGTCTGAATTTTTTTTCCATTTTTATAATTTTTATCTGTTCTGATTAATTATACGTGACAGTAGAATATATTTTTACATATTGTACATATATGGAGTGTGACTTCTCATCCTTCTGGTTGTACATGATGGGGAGTTACGTTGGTTGTGTAATCATATATGCACATAGGAAAGTAATGTCTGATTCATTCACTGTCTTTCCTAATCCCATTCCCCCTCCCTTCCCTTCATTCCCCTTTGTCTAATCCACTGAACTTCTATTCTCCCTGCCCGCCTTATTCTTTGTTAGCATCCACATATCAGAGAGAACATTCTGCCTTTGGTTTTTTGAGATTGGCTTATTTTGCTTAGCATACTATTCTCTAACTCCATCCATTTACCAGCAAATGCCATCATTTCATTCTTCATCAAAGCTGACTAATATTCCATTATGTATAAATATCACATTTTCTTTATCCATTCATCTGCTGAAGGAYACCTAGATTGGTTCCATAATTTAGCTATTGTGAGTTGAGCTGCTATGAAAAATAATGTGGCTGCATCACTGTAGTATGCTGATTTTAATTCAGTGGGATAGCTGGGTTAAATGGTGGTTCCATTCCAAGTTTTCTGAGGAATCTCCATACTGCTTTCCAGAGGGGTTGCACCAATTTTCAGTCCCACCAGCAATGTAGGAGTGTGCCTTTTTCCCCACATCCTCACCAACATTTACTGTTACTTGTATTCTTGATAATTGCCATTCTGACTGGAGTGAGATGACATCTCAGTGTAGTTTTAATTTGCATTTCTCTTCTGTTTATCTTAATCAGGTTAATATCTATTTTACACGTGGAACTTAATCTGTGCAGGTGTTAGGTATTAAAAAATATTTAATTCCTGGAACCACCATGTCTAGGTGATTCCTGGGAAGGCACTTACCCATTAAAAAGATTTTCAGGTTGACTCCAAAAAATAACCCTAACCCTCTCTGTCTCTAGAGATGACCCCATAGTCGCAGAGGTTTGGAGGGCAGGACACACAGAGGAGATGGCTTGGCAGGTGGGGCGGTGAGGAGGCCGCGGCGAGTGGCAGGAGACGGGGCTTCATGGGGCAGGACCCGAGCTCCATCCTAGATGCCCGATGGCTTCTCAGATCCCAYGGTGGCGGGATCAGGGACTTGGATCTTGCCTGTGTGCTGGGTGGGGCGAGGGGTGGAGTGCCCCCAGGGATGTGGCCCACCGTAGGTCCCTCCACCTGTCCACGTCCCTCTGCCCCTCCTCTGCCTCTCTCCAGTGCCCCTCGCCCCCGCCCGGCTTGCTGGTCCAGAGTGCTGCTTGTCCCTGCCTGGCTGGCCTGGCTGCTTTGTTGAGAGGTCGGTGAGGGCAGGCGGCAGCTTCAGCAGGGCTTCTCCCCCTCAGGGTGCCTCAGCAGGGACACTCAGGCCTTGGGCACGGTTGTTCGTTTCTTTGGTTTTGCAAGGTCGTAGCTCAGGGCGAGGGTTTCCACTTCAGTGTCTTCAGAGGAGCTGATGGATTTGGACAATGAATTTGGACAGGTCGTCTGCCTTAGCCTTGGAAGGTCGAGGGAGGCAGGGCTGAACATTCCTTAGACGGTGTCAAAATCTGCCTGTGCATTTTAAATAAACCATCATTTTTTAAAAAACAAGGCACAGTTGTCATTCTGGTCTGAGCCTTTCCTGGGAGCAGCCTAGGGCTGCGGTGGGGTCAGGCCAGCTGAGCCTGCCATTGTCATTCCGTCCTCTTCCTCGGGTGGTGGGGTGTGGCCGGCCTGGAGGGCACACAGCCCACACCTCCAGTGCCCTCAGAAAGAGCTCCTGATGGGGTGTGTGCTAATGTCTGGGTCCAGTGCATGGCAGCAGATGGTGGCCCAGCCCTCAACAGTGGACTAAACCAGGAAAGGGCAGCCTCCTGGGAAGGACACCAGTCATTGCAGGTAAGCCTGGGGCGTTTTCCACGTGCAGCTCACTAGGCYGGCTGCGACAGCTGACCTCTGTGTCGGTGCAGCAGGGAGCAGTGAGCCTGCCTCCTCTGAGGAAGCAAGGGACGGGTGAGTGRGGTGGAGTCAGGCCCCGGCATGTCCTGTGGACAGGGAGCTGAGGCAGCCACCAGGTGCTCAGTGAGGGGTCCCTCTGCCTGAAGGTCCCTGCAGCACTGTGGAAGAGGACCCCGGGCTGGACCTGGAGGGGCAGTGGAGTTGGAAGTGTGAAGTGGTGGGAGGGTGCCATCAACAAAAAGACTTGTGGGCCCCTGGAACCCTGGAGCCCTGCCTGGGCTGCACCCGGGGCTGCCTCCRTGCCTTGGAGGGGGTGTGGCCCCTGTTTAGGGCGCTCTTCCCACCTAGAAGGTCAAGGCTTTGTCCAGCTGGGCTCCCTGAGGCCACCACGGTGTGGGAGACAAGAAGCACCGGTCCACTGTTCCTGAGAAGGCAGAGCCTCCCGCCAGGCTGGGGCGTGGTCACCCCCAGCTGTCGTGTCCTCAGAGCTGGGCAGCTTTCCCCGGAAGCTCCCCCCACAGCCCCCCATGCCCAGTCCTTCCAGGAGACCCCAGAGTGAGCTCGGGCTTCGTGTTGATCTCCCCAGGAGCAGTACTTCCTAGCACACTCTCTGCCTCCCAGTGTTAGCTCAGCTCCGAGCTCCGAGCTCCTTAGCAGGACCTCCTGCAGAACCCCAGCTGGCCTCCATGATGGCCTTCATTTTCCTCTTGGAGCTCCCGTGCMGGTGGGGAGGGTGACAGGCAAAAAGGGGATAAAATAAAGGGGATAAAATAAAATGGGTCGTAGGGTGGGAGAGGTTGGAGGGAGGAGTGCAGGAGCTGTGGCCAGGGAAGGCTGTGTGACAAGACAGCTCTGAGCAGGAGCCCGGGGAGGGAGGGCCGCAGGCCCCACGGCCCTGCCTGTCAGGTCAGGGCTTTGTCCAGCTGGGCTCCCTGAGGCCACCGCGGTGTGGGGGCAAGAAGCACTGGCCCACTGTTCCTGAGCTCGTCCATGGGTGGAAGGCTGGAGAAGACAGCCACACTGCACACTTAGGACTCGCAGCCTTCCGCTTCTCTCCATGCCCAGTTGCAAAGAGCTGAAAACTGACCGCCTCAGCGTCTCTGTGACTTCTGGACAGGGATAAAAGGAATTTAACCAGGAACTCGAACCCTAGACTATAAATACTACTCCAGAATTCAACGCACAGGCTGTGTTGTTCATCCTGCGAGCGCTGGGGACAGGTGGAGTTGAGAACACTGCTGTTTGTCACAAGATCTGCCCATGAGTCCACCGGGATGGGCCCCAGATTAGTAATCGACTTTGTGAGAAGACAACTTGATTGCGTCGTTTAGGAACAAGCTACATTTCCCACAGAAGGAGCAGTAGCTGGGATTTTCTTAGGCTCAGCAAAATCTTTGACAGGCAATGAGAAATACTGCAATTTTATGTAATTTTTGTGATGGAAATTTCTGGGGTTTTTTTTGAGTGACTGTAATGAGTCTTCCATTTACTTTAGACAAAAAGCACAGAATTAGCATTTCAGGCTCAGCTGATGTGAGAAAGTTGGAGATGGAGGAGGCCGAGAGCGTCAGATGCCGTGTGACCTGATGCTGACGAGCCCTTGCTCAGACCTGGGGGGCCGAACACACTCCCAGCCCTCTGTTCCAAGGAGGAAGTCTGCAGTAACCGCTGTTCATTTTGTTGCTGTTGACAAGTGGGACCAGCCTGGTTTCTACCAGCCGAGGTTGCACATGGCCCTTCATGGGGAGGGCCTCGCCGGCTCTGCTCTAGGTTTGGGGGCACGCTGATGTCCCCATGAGATGCCACTCCTCATGCTGCCACAGTGTCCAGCACAACCAAGTGGGCCTCGTAGGTGGAGGAAGGACAGAGGCAACAGACCAACAGGGAGACACATGTCAAGGGCCACCCGGCAGCTAAGCAAGAAAGCTCAGCTGGCCTCCGGCATTTGAGTGCTTGGTACCTTGTGAAAGCGTGAAAGTCGCCTGGGGGGTTTCTCTGGTGTCTATGGCAGAACAGAGCCGGTCTCCACCCAGGTGGGCTGCTCCACTTACATCAGTGAGTGACTTTTAACTTTGCTGCAACTGAGAATCTGATCTATGGTGATAGCTGGAAACCAGGTGGTCTTTGTGGGGCTCCATGGGGACAACGTGCCCTGGCCCAGGATGTTCTCAGGCACCAGTGAACGCGTGCAGTGTGCACCTACAGTCATAACATACAACAAATAGGAGACTGTCTTAAGGAAGCCAACTAGTGGCTTAAGTAATTGAGGGCACGTGACTTCAGATAGTTTGGTCAGGGCCACAGGTCTCTGGGCTCTGTCTCCTCCACGAAGTGGCTTTTTCTTAGCCATGCCAAGCCTCCATTTCATCAGAGGGTGGATCTGAGCCGTTTCCCTGGTAACAAAGCAACTTCTCCCTAAGCCAAATCTCCGTAAGCTCATTATTCTCTACTATTTATTTTCTCTAACAGGATTCACAAGGACAAGTGGTACCTTTCCTTTTGTTTGCTGGTGTTTGTGGTGCTGGGGATCAAATCCAAGGCCTTGTGTGTGCTAGGCAAGCACTCTACCACTGAGCCGCCCCGCTAGCTAAGCGGCCCCTCTCACCCACCCCAGGATTCTAGTGGAAGGATCAGTTTTATTTTTTTTTTCCTAATAATAGTGCATGGCAATTGCCTAAGGTGCATATGCTGGGCATTTACACTGTGTTCTTGTTTAGTTTTCACAACTCTGACAGCTGCGGTCCTGGCTACTTTACAGACACAGGAGAGCAGTCTCCTCTAACAGCATGTGCAGGATGCAGGCATCGAGAAAAGCACCTGGGGTGTAGCTCAGTGGTGGAGCCCAAGGCCCTGGGCAGGTCCCAGCGCACACACTCAAGCAAGCATTTGAACATCCAGAAAGCTGGTGAGCACGCTTCAGTCACGACAGGCATGCTGCGGTGTCTGCAGAGGGGACTGGGACATGAGAGCCCCTGCTTCTCAG